ACAAATTACCCAGTCTTTTTTAGGCATAATTAAATTATTATTTTCATAGCAACTCAAGCATAGACTTCTTCTTGCATAAAAAAAGCACGTTAAAATTGAACAGTAGATTTAATACTTTAGTGAGCAATGTTCTATAATCCAACAACCCCTTTTTGTCGTTACATTCGATAACGATGCGACACGACTGGCACTTCATTGTTAAAATTTTACAGGATTGAAGTTGACGCTGCAGACGAAGAGGCGAGCCAACGGAACCGGGGAAGACCCGAAGAAGAGGACGAAGAAAGAAGATGGGAGCGCGGACGACGAAGAGGAAGAAGAGGCAAGCAACAACAATAACCGCGGTGGAGTAAGAAATCTTCACATACTGTTCTCGTTAAAACGATAAAGCAGTCATGATGACGGGCGATCCGCGCTGTTGTAAGTCGCCGTCTTATGGATTTCACGGGTTTTCGGGTCAGACCGGACACTCATTCCATTCAATTCTATTAAACGAAGAAAATATCAAAATTATTCCATGCCTTTGCTCGATATACGTATACAAAAAATGTTTCGAAAAGTCGGTTCACGATAAGGCATGATCGAAGAACATTTTCTTTTTTATTTAAATAATTACATGAGAACAAAATGAAATACTTTCTACTACCATCTTCCCCCCATCGACATACACTTCTGAAACCACCTGTATACTCATTACGAATTCGTCAGAGTATCTGCGTGTCGTTCAATTAAAGAACACCTTCTAACTATTCAATGTCCTTCCTTCCAGTTGACGCCAGAAGATGAAGAAAGGCGCAGAAGAAGACGCGAGCGGAACAAGATAGCCGCGACAAAGTGTCGGTTGAAGAAACGCGAGAAGACAACCACCTTGGTGCAAGAGTCAGAGATCCTTGAGACGCAGAACCACGACCTGAAGTCGCAGATCCAAGAGCTGGAGACGCAAAGGCGCAGGCTGGTAGACATGCTGAGTCTTCATGGACCGACCTGCTTGAAACAGGGAGGAACAGAGAGCACGTATCAACAATTCACAGAGCCTTTACAGCTGCCAAGTTACCAGGAAAATTTCGTACCACCTCCACCAGCGTTGAATCAGCCTCAAAACTGCGTGACGGAGTACCCGGTGAAGGTGGAGGAGTACGAGGGTGACTTTTATAGACAAGAAAGCCCCTTCGTGCCCACCACAGACGCTGGTTGTACGGTTTAGTAGCTTTAGCGACGTTGCAACAACGTCTACCCCCGCTATTCTGAGGAGCAACCTCTGTGAAGATCCGGTTTACCAATATGGAGAAATTCTGAGGAGGATCGAACATCGTCTGATGGTGAAAGAACAGTCGTATGCATTCCAAGAAGACACAAGAAAGCGGGAACACCTATGTTTGTTGATTGGTGGACACGTCGTCAGGAAGACGATTTGGACGATTTGCCTCTTCTTTGACGCTTCCGGTGAACCGAATCTCCTGGATCTCCCTTTTCTGTTAATTGCAAGTCTGTAGCTCGTAAGTTGATTATTATAATAGCGCTCCTGATCTTCTCCCTTTTATCCTATCCCTTCTCTTCTCCTGTATCTTTATTTCTTCTTTTTTTTTTTTTTTTTTAACACGTCCCTTTATACTCGAAACGTTCGATGTAGAACGCTTGAAAGACATTCCTTGAAAGTAACCCTTTCTTGAAAGTAAGTAACCGATTCCTTGAACATAAGTACTGTGACATTCTAAGGTATAATTAATGTAATCGATATATTTAAGGTTAGAGACGGGTCACCTCTGTGATACTAGATTTATTAATATCAATATATCGATACATTGATTGATATAGAAAAAACAAAAAAATTGAATTTATACGAGGAATCATTTTTTGTAATATTTATAAGTTGTTAAATATGATCTGATCGAAAAATCAAGTATGGCAAAGGTGCCCCGTTGCTTTAAGAATCGAGAAGTTCTTTTACAAATGGCGGATCGCGTCAGGTGCCGTTACTTTTCACGCGACCGTTTCCACTCTCGATTGACCAGTGAGAAAGAAAGAAGAAAAAGAGTATATAATTCGTAATTCAGAATATTGTAAGTCTTCTGATATTGATTCATGACTATCTCACGTGCATTGAGACGCGATCACCAGACGCGTTCAAGAGGATACTTATAATTATACGAGTAACCGAGACGATATATTTAATACTACGAGAATGTGCATATTTTATACAGATTACGTATGTTTATTGTATTTACACTCGCAGACACGCACATGTCAGACACATACGCGTCATTAACAGTTAACGGACACATGATTACATGACGATTAATGACAAGGGCCGAACGACATACCTCAATTTCGTGGGTAGTTACCCTCCCTCGGTGCGTTTGCACGAAAGAAATCGTTATTTTCTAATTCTATTTTTACATTGTCACTCTGATCGTGTGATTATTGTGAAATTATTTAATACACGAAGTAACAGTGACACGAAGGAATGCCAAAGAACCATCAGAAATGTCGATCAGAGGATATTCAGAGGTTATGGTACAATATTATCGGTAGAAAGAAAATTAGCAAACGCACTTTGGGCTACGCTTACGCGTTCTTGCAATTAATAAAAGCTAGTGTTAATACTTAGCCGAACGCTACGATTAATAGTGAAACGCTTTTTCAAGTCCACGGACTAAAAGATGCTTTTCATTTCACTCGGAATGTTACCGCCGGTTAATCTAACGAAGGAGAAGATTTTTCTTGCACTTCGTGAAATGGAAGTGAGACAAAGCCTTCCTCTTGTTCTTCTTTGACGAGATTAAAAAGCGTCCACGAGCATTAAGGATGTTTTTTTTTTTTTAATTAAAAAACG